CCCAGCCAAGGCTTGGTCTACCTGGGTCTTAAAAACCTGAGCATTTAATTCTAATGGCAACAGAGCTAAGGACACAACATAGCTTGATTGATTTGCTTATTTTTTATGTGTTTTATCCATAATAAGTGATATAGCAAATGCATGCACATTTCAATACAGTGATATTTGGTTTTGTTTCATTCCTGAACTGAATAATCTAGCTCTGAGCCTTTAGCATATGAGTAAAGCTGCTAGTTCCTTTTTACCTTGAGAAACGTGTGTGCCATGTTATATGGGGTGATGCACCGCACCAGCTGCACTGCTTTTTAAAAAAAATTCCTAGATCCACCCATGTCTAGCTCTCTCTTTTGGTGTTTTCTGGATATTTTTCTGTTTCCTTTTTGGAAAGTACAGGGTGGAGACTGCCTGAAATGGAAACGTATATATTAACATCAGTTTCCTGTAATCTTTTATGCACAGCAGCTGATGCAGTCTGGGAGGGAGCAGAGTGTATGCATACTTATGTAAACTGCAATATCCAGTTCAAGGCTGATTATCTGGAGGCCACAGAGACACTGAAATTCTGAGAAATGAGGGAGTATTCAGTATAATTAACAGGCACTAAGGGAGATGAATCTGCTTCAGAGAACAGGTGGTCGGATAATTGAAGTTATTTGGTACGGGCCAAATTCTGGCACTTCCACTGAACGGTGTCTTTGCCCCATTCAAGACAGTGAGTCCCACCCCAAGTGGCACATTCTCCTCCTCAGACGTAAAGCATCAGAGCATGGCCCTGTGCTTGTTTCCCTCCCCTAAATAGTACTCCATTCTCCTCACATGCTGAGCATGTCACACAAAAGTTGGTATATAAAAAAGTGTTATTCCAGATGAAAAGCACAGCTAGTGTTTGCATGGAGACAGGGAATGAGAATTAATGAACAATCAGAGAACAGAGGGGCCACCAAGCACTAAAGTCTTTCCTTCTCCCAGCTCCAATGCCAATATTTATGGCATTGATGCCATTTATGTTTTAAAAAAAAGGGGGAACTGAGGATTTGGGTACCACAATAAAGAAAGTAGGGAGAGAAACAATTACTAAAGAAAGTAAAACCAGCAGAGAAATAAATGTTAACTGCATGCCTTTCAGAGGTGCAGCAAGCACAGGAGGAATAAAATGTTGCATATAATAATGGGACCGGCTTGCAAGCCTCTCTTTTCTTAGTGAGGATCTTGGAAATCAATTAAAACAGTTAAGCTGTTCTAGCCCTCCCCCCCCAAATCCTCTCCCACCTTGCACAAGCTGTACTGAGCCGCTTCCAGTTTGGAAGAGATGGTGTTTTGCACATAGAGCCTGGGTTTGGACTGCTGATTGCAGCTAACAGTTTGCCCTACTTGACCACGCATAGGGCAGTTTTATCCATATAATAAAAAAAGGTGCAGTATGTTGGCGTTACATTTCGATGAGAACATTTTAGAGCTAATACCAAACAATTTTTGAAATATCCCATTTTAAACAGGGCGAGAGAAAGAGCCTCAAAAGCATCAACACAGTTCAAAAGTCTTTTTAAAGAGAAGAACACTGGTTTTTAGACTCAAGATCCCTAGTGATTTCAGCTTCCCCAATTGCTAGCTCAGCTGGACGCACTTCACATAATTCCCGCTGACTTCAACGTGTGCTCCATGCAGGATTGCAAAATTGGGCTCCCGGAGTGAAAGAGGTAAATTTAATTCACCATCACTGCATAAAGCTCTTTTGCAATATTTTATTAAATTCAAATACAGATTGTGTTCACAATTCTATGCAAAGTCTTCCCAATACAGAATGTGGCTTGCTCTCTCTCTCCTTTTTCTTTTTGTTGTAATAACGGCAAATTAACCATATCAGGCTGCCAAAATTACCCACCAGAACAACTTCATTTTCATAATAAAGAAGAAATGTTCAACTCCTTAATGCATAGTCAGGAGGCTGCTGAGCTTTCAGACAAGCTGTGCACTCTCAATCATGGGTTGGGAACAGAAAACTCAGTCTATACCAACACGAGCTCTGAACGAGCAAAAGGAACAGAAACAGGTTTGGTCCTGTAATAGTCGCATCGTTATGATTAAAGTAGGCTTCCAGGTAAATTTTAAATGGGGCAGAATGACTTAGTGGGCTTCCTGCCCTCTCTTTGTAGTCTCCAAAGACCTCCGAAGAGCCGGTAACGAAATGACCCCCCACAAACTTAGGGTCCAGAGGAGGGCCACCCGCATGATCCGGGGACAACAGGGCAGACCCTACAGTGAGAGACTGCGGGACCTGAACCTATTCAGCCTCCACAAGAGAAGGCTGAGGGGGGACCTGGTGACCGTCTATAGACTCACTAGGGGGGACCAGAAGGGTTTGGGGGAGACGCTGTTTCCCCTAGCGCCCGCTGGCATAACAAGGAGTAATGGGCACAAGTTGATGGAGAGGAGGTATAGATTGGACATCCGCAAAAACTACTTCACAGTTAGGGCGGCTAGGAGCTGGAACCAACTTCCAAGGGAAGTGGTGCTGGCCCCTACCCTGGGGGTCTTTAAGAAGAGGCTGGATGCCTACCTGGCTGGACTCATTTGAGTCCCGTTTCTTGTTTTTGGGGTTTTGTTGTTCTCCCGCCCTGGCGGGGGGTCAGGCTAGAAGATCTACTAGGTCCCTTCCGACCCTTAATCTATGAAACTATGAAACGCGTGTTACACATGGAACTGGCACATGGGGCAAATCCAGTAAAAGTCACTAAAGCTAGGTACAGACTTCAAAATGCCCAAGGCAGAATCGATCCAAGTTCTCTGCAAGCGGTGTCATTTAGCTCAGTAGCAAACAGTACAGACATCTGCCCTTTGGTGGGGTGGGGTGGTAAATCTCAGACCAGGTTCCAGCATTTTTAAACCAGAAGTGTTTCAAATCTCTCTTCTGTTACAGGTATAGACCAGTTTCTCATCACTTATGCCGGTAAAACTGTCATGTTTATACCTGGCCTAAGAGCTCTGTATAATGCACCTCTGTTGATCACCATGTTCCACTTCTGCAGGGAAAGTGTGACCCTGAGAAAGATGAGGGCATGTCTGAGGATCACTTGGGGATCCTCTATTTATTGAAACTAGAAGGGGAAAGAAGCCCCAAGGAGGACTGATTTGTTAGAAGCAAGATTTTTTTTTTTCCCTTTCCTGCAACCAGAAGTGCCTTGTACTATGGCAAGATTGCATGTGACCAATAACATACACATCTACCAGGGATATTTCTCTGTCTACCATTGTGCAGCACAGAGGGTTACCAGCTCTGCGACATGGGAGCAGCAGCCAGAAGGGAAGGTTACACATGTCTCAAACGGGGTCCATTGCTAGCTGTCCTGAATAATACCGTGACAAAGTGAGTTTGCACAAAAGAAGGGGCTAGAGAAGCATTGCAACAAGCAAGACCCAAGGTGGACCCAAGTGGAGCGGATAACAAAACTGACCAAAAGGCAGAGTAAACTGTTCAACTGCTTCCGGCAGCAGCTGAAGCCCCTCATTAGCAGCGACACTGGTACCCAGCTCGGCACACGATGCGAATCGACTCCGGAGAAAACCTCCCAAGGCTCTTTGAGACCTGGCCCTCGCTTCTCAACCCACTGACTCTCTCCTGCACAACCACGCTTGTCAATAGAGAAGAAAGAGACCTTGCCAAAATAAGGGCAAGAGAGACCAGAAACGGCTTCATGAAGAAATACAGGGGTCAACAAAAGGAAAGCAAACCCAGAAATGCACACACAAGAGCGAAGTGACACACACGCCATTTGAGAGGCCCAAGTTTAATTCCATTAATGACACACCATGGAGGGACAGAAGAATGGGAACGGCCATACTAAAACCCAGCCGGGCCTGTTGCTTAAAATCTGATCTGTGCAATGAAGAATAGGATCATGAGTTTCACTTCTACACCCCTCTGCACATTTGTAGCTTTGATCCACCTTCCTGCTCCAGAAACAAGGAGCTCCCTCTACCTTATGCAGGCTTCTGCACCAGTGGCTTTCTCTGGTATTTTATTTTATGTGCTTACTATTCCGCTGGCCCCGTATGTGTTGTGTTGCTTTCAAGCTCGTAACATCTGCCGGAAAGCAGAGTTAAGACAAGTCATTCTCCAGACCAGGGGGGGCTGGACCCCACAATCTGTAAGGTCCCTTTCAGACCCTAACAACTGTGAAAGACATTTCCAACTGGTGTGAGGATAGAGGGGGTGAAACAAGTCACTAGATTTCCCTCTCATTTGTTCTAGGAACCTGGTCCCCTCTAGGCATAAAGGAAAAGGATGCTTACATCTCTTTGAACTTGCCCTGTTTCCCTTAAGTTTGGAAACCATACTTTAGAGAAACCACATTCTCTATCACCAACCAGGCTAGCTCGAGGCTTTCCAACCTCTTCAGACTCAAAGCATCTCTTGTTAGACCCCCCTACCTTGGGGGTCTTCAAGAAGAGGCTGGACAGATATTTGGCTGGGGTGACACCTGCCCAGGGTGGGGTGTGGGGGTCGGACCTGATGATCTGTTTAGGTCCTTTCTGACTTTAAGCACTATGTCACTATGTCAAAGCAGTGCTCAGAAAATGCCCGCACTTAGCTTGCACTTGTTTCTTGACTACAGAAAAATACACGAGCAATTCTTCAATTGCAAAGAACTCAGAATGAGCACAGCAAGTCAGAATGGTTTGAATCATGCTGGATTTCTATTCAAAATCTCTGGATTTCTCTTGTGAATTACATGTAGGTGTTTGCACATCTAACGATGCTAAAATTATGCAGCACCCTGTGTCATACTCTTAAAAGGATCTCATGGCTCCCTGGATGAGAATCACCGGACTCGATGGTTTCTGGTCACTCAGAAGAGCCTAGCCCTCATCTGAGCAAACCTCTGCAACATGTGCCCCCCCCCCCAAAATCAGATGACCTGAACAGGCTGGGAAGGTAAACAGCAGGATGGTCGCAGGGCACCCAGCAACAACACGATGCTCAGTCACGGTTCGGGACTCACCTGTGGCCGAGGGTGGCCCGTGACCAAGCAGGTCAGCTCCAGAGTCTCCCCCTCGCGGATGGTGTACACTCGCTCTGAGTACCGCTCCTCCTCGATGTTACACGCCAGGCCTGAGTGAACAATCCTCACCGTGGGTGGGGCTGTCAAACCAGTAGAGAAAAACCGGATCAGTAAAGCATTTGCGCCTTGCCCCCCGCCCTCCATCAACAGCATTCACCATAGACCCAGAGAGGCCCCATATAACTTCCTGAGCTCCTACAAGGATGAAACAAGGCTCTCTGAAGAAACAACACTTCGCTCTGCTTTGAATATAGAAACCAGGGACATCCCCATGCATATAGACGCTGTAGGATTCCTGTAGTCTAAGGAAACAGACTGTGTAAGAGGAGACAGTACGTTTGAATGTGCACTTGTCTGCAAGCACGGGTCAACCCTCCTGGATCCCACGGCTTGCACAGAGAGACACACCATCGAGGAGCTAATATTGTCAGGGCGCAAGTTGCTAAGCCCTTGGCCAAAGGCAATGGCAGGACATCATCCCAGGCAGCAACGAGGGGGTTAACACAGATGCTCACCCCTGTTGCCCAATGCCACCCATTTTTCAATGCCAAAAGCAACAGAACACGTTAAATTTGAGCAGCAGGAAGAGGCAGGGAGAGAAGGTACCCATCTGCAGCAGCAGCTCCATTAATCCACAGGATGCTGGCTACAGGGAGACTGGAAGACCCACCTCTGAGGACTGACTTTGGCCCCTGGGATAAATGTTTGACACCTCTGCCTTAGAGAGGGATGAGGAGCCGATACAGATACATTAACAAGGGAGGAAAGGTAGCAGGGGCAGCAAGAAGATGGATGTGCATTGGGCAACACTGCCCGGGAACACCCCTCCCCAGGAAAGGGCTACAGATAAACAAGGAAAGTTTGGGGAATAGCATTATCAGTATTCAATCTGTTTCTATAACTCAGAAGAAGATGAGAAACATAGGGGGATAAAATAGAGGAAGATAGAGGGGTTATACGCTAGCAAGAGCAATCTGCTGATGCCAGTCAGCATGGGACAGCTAGAGTCTCCCTTGCTAGCCCAGTTATATTTGGATCAAATGCTTGTAATGCCGGGTGGGTGCTGTCTTCAATAACTGCGGTAGCATTGCCGTCTAATATATGGCCGGTATTTGTTAGAGTACTTCCAAGTGCCTGTTGACAGAAACTGCACGACTGCTCCTGGCCTTTGAATCTATTAAAGAAATCCCAGTGGCATTACTGAGGTGGTCAGCAAAACCCAACATCGTTTCTGCAACGGGCAACTCGCCCCTTCCCCTCCAAGGGCACACAGCCCGTTGAAGAACACCACCACAAAAGAGAAACCAGACAATAGTTTCACCGGTAATAGCGGGTGGTGTATGGGTGGTTGTTCCCCCCCCGCCACAAGTGAAATCAGGGCTCATGGGATGCCCTGAAAGGACATCAATCCTACACAGGAGGTGCAGGGGCGGCACAGACTTGTTCCCACCACTTACAAAGAGGGCCCAACCCACAGGCTGGTCAACACAGGGGTACAGGGTAGCAGTATTTGCCCCTTCCCCTCCCCAGCCATTCACATCCATGGAGGTCCCTGAAGACCTAGCCAACACAATGCCATTGGAAACCCTGATTATACGACTGTTATTTAGATGCATCTACAGCAGCGACTGGACTGGAAACACCCACTCGCTTCACGTGGGCACTGAACAAGCTGGAACGAAGGAGTCGTAGGCATCGGCATGTAGGACCAGAACAGTCCCCCTGGGTGCGAGTATCGTCCCCTGTTGTCCTAAGCAATCGTATGGCATTGTCCATTGTGTTTACTGCCATGGAGCAGCTCGGACCCAGTGCCCAGATGCATCAATGCTATTCCCACTTCATGAGACTCAGCCACTCTTTCAGGACTTGATGTGGAGGCAGAGTCGCTGCCTGGATCTGAACGCCACAGACTCCCAGAAAGTTTGGCTCCGCCGCCAGAACTCAAATGTAGGGTGCCAGCTCATTCAGATGGTGCAAGTGCTGGCACCTCATTTAGGATGCACAGTGACAAAGCTAAGGGCATGTGTCACTAGGAGTAAAGGATGAGCTGGACGATGCCATTTTGTTATCTCAGGTACTGTAGGCAAAACAGTGCAAAGTGAGAGAAATTAAATTGCAATAAGAATCGCAAGGTAGCACTATACTATACCATTTATCATGGCTTTGTTCAGGGTTTTCCAGGTACATCTGACCCTTAGCATTACAGAACAGCCTTCTCCCCACCCCAGGCATGGGCTAAAGGACTAACTCCATTAGCTGGCAACAAGTGTAGTATCTAGTTACCATTCAATACCACAAAAGGCTGCCAGGCTATTTAACCAATACCTGCCTATCCCCTGAGGAAGCCCTTTCCAGACTCTTCTGCACTGGTTTCATTTGGGATTTGGGTTTTTTTTTTTTTGTTTGCTTTAATTTCCAAATGAATTCCCATTATTGTTCTTTTTATTACATATCTTCCTAAATGGATTGCCACATTCATTATGCATACAAGATGCTTTAATTAAAACATTCAAATTAGGGAATAGGTACAGTGGGACCAATCCAACTCCAGTGTAAAAAGCATATTCAAATCATTCAATGGGTTGGACTGGACTGAAATGTTTTGGAACCAGAGCTTGGATTTAAAACGAGCCCATTTTCTTTTATTTCCTTGTATACTTAACCTGTACTAAGGAAAAGTCAAACGCTTTTATCTGCACTACAGGCACAGCATGTTTTGCATATGCAGACACTCCAGTTGTAATATTGGATGCACAAATTACAGGCATATTTTAATAGTTCAATAGAGCATATCTATGTTTCTATGAGACATTCAGTATTTTTGAATCATATAATTCCTGCACATTAAAATTCCAAGAGAGTGGATCAATAGCAAGACAAGGTCGAATCCCAGTTTCAATACCCTTGCTGAATGAAATGGAACAAGGAAATAAACAGCACAAACGGTAAAGAGTAGATCAGATGTAGGGGGAAAGAAAAGCGTTCAGCTTAATACTCTTCGGTGCTATTCAATGCTCTTAGGAGACATGCTCTTTTTGGGTAAGGACTGAATATGGGCTTTTTAACCAGGCAGAGAGAGGCTCTACAATCAGGAGCACTTGCACAAAGTGACAGCACAGCAAAAGGATATCCTGTGGCCCAATCTGGACCCAAAGCAGCTCCAAGACACCGAGCCCTAGGACTCTGCAAAGACGCGCATGCTCGCCGTGACATGCAGCATGTACGGACAAAGCATTAAGCAGGGACCATTGCAGATTACAAGTCTGCCCCATGCTCCGGAGTCTGTGCTCTGCATACAAGCGCCCAAATTTGCACCTGCCATTAGGGTATTTGCAAATGCATGGTTCATAACTGTATTTTAAACATCTGACCCTGGGAGACCTGGCACACCATGACAATGAGAATGAGTGTCAAGCAAAGACGCCCAGGATAGCACAGTGACAGTGGACTGAATGAAGAGAAACAGAATAATTAGAGCCGGCCAGCCTGGCTCATTCCCTCGCTCTTCACCACCTGGAACTGCCTCTGACAATCCCCATCTTTGGTATTTAAATAATGTTCAGTTTGCTTGGCCTATGTCAGCCTTTTCTGTAATCATATACAAAATCTGTCCTCATTGCTCGCTGATCCCAAGAGCACAGCCTGGCGGGTACACTTTCTTTGCAATGGACTGGATCCTGGGCTTAATCAGGTTTTCACAATACAAATAGTAGACAGTGAAGACTAATTCTGAAGGCTTTCGACTGGAGTAGCAGAAAGATTCCAGTTTTGAAACCTAAAGTAAGCAAAGCTATTCAGACGTTGTTAGTTCACACCCTCCGCGGTGAATTGCACCCAGCATTTTCTTTTGCCATTCTTGGGGGTGGAAGCAGCTCAGGCTTACAGAGAAGTAGCAACCAGGAAAATGAATCATTTTCCATGTCCTTTAAGTGTGGCTGCATATGCACACTATACCCAACACACTCCAAAAATCAGATAGCAAACTACGTGCCTGCCCACCTCTTTGCATTCAGACAGAATACCAGGGTCTCTCTCTGCATCGCCCGCTCTGTTGTTACTCCGATGAAGAGTGTTGTGCCCAATATGAGCCTTCAGTTTATTCAAGGTGAACTGATCCCTCTGAAAACCAAGATGACATTCAGTTTCTCTCTCAAGCAAGATGCTCATGGCATCTTATACATGAAGGACCAGACCCCGTGCTCATGCTCACACCAGAAGCACCTGAGCTCCACATCAGGGGTTTCAATGCAAGGAACTTCTCAGTGGGACCAAATACTGCAATCTCACCCTTAAACACCCCCGTCCCCACGCTGAGCATCACTAAACTATTGATAACAGAGTACTAAAAAAATTAATTTACAGTACAACTTTCTCAGTAGAAAGGATGTGGACTTGTAATATTTGCCATTAGTCATTCACTAACCGGTGGGTGCGTTTTACAGCCTAAATTAGCAGCTTTATCTCACTGCCATTTGTATTAAGCCTTACAAGGCTGTTTGCTCAAGCAGAAATGCAATGCAAGAATGTTTCCTCGGTGTCCTCCAGAGTACAATCCTGCGCTGTGAAGACTGTCAAGGTGTCACGGCAGCTCTTCTCTTTTGTACAGCTTGCAAGAGGACACATCCCCCCACTGCCTATGGACCAGAGCTACTGCACCGTTTGCTCTGCACCTCAAAAGATTCAGGGAAAATAGGGCCAAAGCTGCACCTCCAGCTAGGAAATAAGTTGCACCTTTGCAAAGGTGCTGTCAAAGGCGGTAGCAGCCCTTCAGGACACGCTCCAAACCCTGAGAACGAAAACCCCCAGTACTCCTCAGTGCTCTCCTCCGCCATGCCCCTGCACTGAAACAGCAAAGCAAGAGGTCTTGTATTTAATCTAGCATGTTTCTTGGTTTCTTCCTACAACATCAACCCTGCCAACCATACAGAGCCCAGGAAGGCACTGGGTTTTGAGCGGCGAAGCCGTCCTGCAGGTGTCTGGAGTCTAAGGTGAAGAGATGCAGAACCTTAAGAGCTGATGGGAAAGAGCGACCCGTACACGATAGCGCTTAACACACCCAAACACCAAATCCTATAAATCCGTGACTGGCAACAAAAAGGACAACCCACACTGGAATAAGTAAATAAAATGCAAATACCATTAAA